GCAACCACCAACACAAAGGTCTACATATAGCCACTAACTCTGCATATATTTCACCCTGTAGCAACCACCAACACAAAGGTCTACATATAGCCACTAACTCTGCATATATTTCACCCTGTAGCAACCACCAACACAAAGGTCTACATATAGCCACTAACTCTGCATATATTTCACCCTGTAGCAACCACCAACACAAAGGTCTACATAGCCACTAACTCTGCATATATTTTACCCTGTAGCAACCATCAACGCAACTGTCTATTCAGCCACTAACTCTGCATATATTTCACCCTGCAAGAATAATGAACACAACTGGCTAACTTTGCATATATTTTGCAGGCAGTGACGTCATCAACATGGACGGCGACTACGATAGCGCGCTTGACGCTGGCGTCTATGGCAACGGTATCGGCAGCGCAGCCGACAACGTGACGGGGGCGTGGTTGCAGCGTGCGTGCGAGGAGTGGATCGCCGCCAAACACGTACTCTTCCACGTCGCTAACGTCTGCTTCTCGGTCGCCTTCGTCTCTCCGAACATCTTCCGCTATCACGTGCTCTTCATGCGCGCTCTCGTCTGCTCTGGATTCTTCCTGTTGCTTCTGTGGACGAGCATCTACGCGTGCCACGCCGACATGCTCACCTGGAACTGCCTCTTCCTGCTCATCAGCCTAGTCCACCTGGGATCGCTCCTCTGGGAGCTACATCCGGCGAAGTTTAGTAGGGATTTGGATGAGATATACAGGAGACATTTTAAGCCTCTGCGAGTGTCTAGTGGGCTGTTTAAGGAGCTGGCGAAGATAGGGGAGATGCGGACACTGTCGGTGCAAGACGACTATGCAAAGGAAGATGTTACGGTGGCCGGAGAGAGGCTGTCTGTTCTCATAAGCGGCAGGTAGGCGTGGTTTAGATGGCTTTAGTGTTACGCGCACAGACGCACACGCGCGCGCGCACCTACAAACACACACATACACACACACACCCGCACGCGCACGCACGCACACGCACACACACACACCCGCACACACGCACACACACGCGCGCACACACACACATACACACATACACGTACACGTACACACACGCACACGCGCACACACACACACGCACACACACACTACTCCATCATCACGCTGTGAGCAGTTTGACAGCGTCTGTCGGGTAGACCGCGGGGGGGGAAGCGAGGATGCTGCTGATGCCGCAAGCTATTAATTAATACGTTGATGACGTGTCTTCGTAGCGAGTCAGTGTGTATTAATGTTGTTGTTTGGTATTGCTCAGGGCGTGGTTTTACACGTGGGGGCGTTTACGCGTGGTTTTTGTTTCGTACCCGCCGAGTTGTTCTAAGGAAAATGTCGGGTTTAATTTCACGCCTAATGCCGTCTTCCTAAAGCTATAGTGTCAGTGTGTTTAGTGTTGTTTAAAGCGTAGCTCAAAAGGCAGTGACGCGCTGCGATCTATGTGTTTGTCTCGTGTTTTATATTTCGTATACGCCGAGTTGATCTAAGCAAAAAGTCGGGTGTAATTTCACAGTCTTCATAGAGCCAAAGTGTCAGTGTGTTTAATGTTGTTTAAAGCGTAGTGGGCACTCACACGGCAATGACGCGCTGCGATCTATGTGTTTGTCTCGAGTTTTTTTGTTTCGTATACGCCGAGTTGATCTAAGCAAAAAGTCGGATTTAATTTCGCAGCGGTTGCTCGCCTGCGTTTGCCGTCTCGTCTGCGGTTTGTGTTTGATTCGTGATTCGTGCGACACGTTCTCGTACTAGGCTGCTACGCTTAGTATAAACCACATTAAAATTACCGCTATGCTCGCGACATGTAATGTGAGCGTGTATTAAGTGTTTCTAGTTCCATTTCGTTTTCCTATTATATTTAATATTAAGGGGATGCGTGTACTTACGTAACACGACCCTTTTTTCACACGTTGTGTTGTTCTCATTTTAACAGCTCTCAGCTTTGCCATCGCCGTCTATTCAATTTTACAGACACGAGTCTCGTATGTCAGTTTGTCCGCAAAGTTCCCTGTCTCTCTCGTCACTCTCCCTCTAGACTCTATTCAGAGCAACGAAACGCGACCAGCCCTCCCTATTATCACACTCTCTAGCAAATGCAGTCTGCTATTCTCCTTTTTAGAAATTAAAACCTAAATTGTGTTTCACGCTCGGCCGCGCAGCATGATTAGAGCCACCAGGGGGCGCACTTGGCAGCAGAATGCGTCGCCATGGCAGCAACTCACTGTATAGGCTATTTAAACGCCTCGTCTCTTGCTTAATTAACACGAACATGGACATGTAACTAGCAACGAATGAGATAGGCTACAGTCACTGCTAACTCTGCTCTCCTTCCGCAAAAATTGTCAGAGCCAACACAACTGTCTGTAGGCGTTGGGTTTTCGCCATACATAGCAGCTAACTCGGTGTATATTTTATCTTGCAAGAACCACCAGCATAATTATCTGTACACTAACTCTGGGTATATTTCATTCTGATAGAACCACCAACACAAAGGTCTATATAGGCGCTAAGGCTGTATATTTCACCCTGTAGCAACCACCAACACAAAGGTCTACATATAGCCACTAACTCTGCATATATTTCACCCTGTAGCAACCACCAACACAAAGGTTGTGTGTGTGTGTGTGTGTGTGTGTGTGTGTGTGTGTGTGTGTGTGTGTGTGTGTGTGTATGTGCCAGCGTTATATATATATGTGTATGTACGGCTGAGTGTATGCTGTAGGACCCCGAGCTAGTTCTAGCCGATAGAAGTTTAAAATTCTGTTAACGTGGTCAGGCCACTCATTCATATGCGTCTCACTCGTCTTAGATAGAGAGAGAGAGGGAGGACGGAGGGGAAGGGTGATAAGGAGAGAGAGGCCGCGAGAGAGAATGAGCGGAGGAAGAGCGGAGAGGGAGAGAGATAAAGAGGGGAGGAAGAGGGAGAGGGAGAGGGAGAGGGAGAAGAAGAGAGAAGGGGAGATAGGAATAGCGGGAGAGAGAAAGGGAGAGAGAGAGAGAGAGAGAGAAAGCGAAAGAAAGAGAAATGGGAGGAGAGGCGAGAAGAGAGTGGAAACGGGACAGTGGAACTGCTATTTATACGTTGTGCAATTTGAAGTCTCCAACTTTACACCGAAACATAAACATCTGTAGCAGCAGAAGTAAATGGGCGCCAATTTATAGTTAAATTACTTGATCTTTCGCCGATTTCTAAGCTTTGGAGCCACATTTACCATAAAATTCGAAACATTAGCAGAAATTCTCATTCCCAAGAATTCAAAAGTATTTCCAATGGTGTTTAGCCTCTATCATTATTTACTCTTGATAGAAGTAATACTAGTGAGACTATATATTTAGACTCTCTAGACTCTCTACACTTATATTTCTATAGTGTCTCTATATATTTCTATGCTTACAAGACTGAGAGACTACGAGCCTCGCTCTGATTATGTACCGGTGACGTCACCGCGCGTCGACGCCGTTGCCGTGGTAATGTAATTTCTCGCGGAGCTTTGCTGGTCGGAGATCGAGATCACCGCGTTGCCACGCCGACGGGCCTGGATTTACGTTATCAAATTGAAGTTGTTGTATTGTCGCGCTCCTAATGGCGAGAAAGAGCGGACTCAGCTAGATGCCCCCCACGGACGTCTGTCTCGATTGGCAGGTCCCTCGGGTTGCCAGGGGCAACGGCTGTCGTTGGTTTCATATATTTGTTAGTTTTACTTCGGTTCTGATGCGTATTATTGTTATTTGTGTTATAAATTATTATTATTATAGTAGTAGTAGTAGTATTAGTATCAGTATCATCATCATCGTCGTCGTCGTCATCTTTATCTTCATCGTCATCGTCATCGTCAGCATCAACATCATCATCATTAGCTGCGGCATCCTCATCAGCATCGCCATCATTATATCAACATTCCTACAGTTATTCGTGTTGTTTATGTGTTTTTTTTGTAATAACAACAAGAAACGCCACGAAACGAATCACCTAAATCAATATATCTACGCCTTGAATATATAATACCTAATCAGGACGCTCGTAGTTGTAAGACGGTAAACTCTTTCAAACTCTAAATCTTTTGAGTCATGAGGAAGACTCATCAAAGTTACAACGATGAGCGACAAATGTCTGCCACAATGTTTACCCGTCTCCATGACTACACACACACGCATCCAATCAGAGCGACTGGCTGACTGCAGTGCATAAGATAATTTTGCGTGTCTATCACGCAAGTTCGAACGCATTTTCTGCAGCTTTAATCAGCTTTAATCAGCTGCATTGTCATCGCAGTTGATGTAATCGGGCGCCGTAAACGCATCACACACGTGTCGTCTGTCCGCGCACTCTTGCTACTCGCTCTCCCGCCAACGGCGACGAATAATCTTGAATTCGCAGAACGGAAACGTTTTTTTCAACCGTTTACTCTCTATCTGTGGCGCTGCGCCTCTGTTCGACATACAGACAGACCAAGGAATACAATAATCATTCCTTATAGTCTGTGGCATCACCTATATAGACAAAATCTTGGACGTGAGTTTGTTTAATTATAAATATATATATATATATATATTAATATAATAATATGATTAAAGTAGGAAACAAAAAAGTAAGAGTAAAGTAGTAAAAAGTAGAAACATACGCATTTAAGAGGGCATTTTAAGCGCATGCGCACACGAGGGCATAATCAGCAGATACGATAACATCAAAGATCATATACAATTGTATATGATCTTTGATAACATCTTGAGTGCCAAACATCAACGATGCACAACCTAAACAAAATCTGTGAGTCGTATTCGATGCTTCCGATGCATCTAGAAGGGACTGCCGGTGGAGCGCTGCTATAGCTAGTGATGCGATTATAGCGCGAGTTTGTACAAGCAGAATGCGTGTAGCGTAGCAGTCCGCAGGGACGCACCGCTAGAGTGAACGCTGACAATTACAAGTGGTCTAGAAGCGCCTGTTATGTGTGAGCAAAACAGCTTCATTTTGTCCAACGAAACAGCTCTGTTTTTCAGCGCGTCGATGGCATGACGTGGCGCTGTCATGGTGATAAAGCTGCCGCGGTGCTGACATGTATATGTTCGCGTATATATAATTCTATGCGTATATATAACAAAGACGTAGAGACAAGTTGATCAAATCGACAGATCGACACTGCGGATTGTAGTGGAAAAAGCAGCAAATTTTGCAATTCACTATAATAGACGAAGGGAGAGAATTCCAATACGGATTGACAAAAACAAATAAGCTATTTCAAAATATTTTAAACTTTAAAAAGAATCTTTATTTATTTATTTATTTAATCCGATAATCCTATCATGTGTATGGATGATAGGGTTAGGGTTAGGTCAAGGGTAAACCGACCAGGCTCTCCGACTGTTACACGGCGTGTAGTGTTAAGCGAGATGGGAACTTGTGGCTAGGTCAAGGGATAGTTGGATGTGCACGGTTTAGAGTGTATTTACACGTATACTTGCCACGTGGCTTGAAAATAGAACATAAATGCGAATGGAAAGCCTTAGCATGTAACACGAGGCCTTGAACTATCCTCATGCATTAGTTCACCACACTAACGCTCGTAGCTCCTGGTTGTACGGGCACCGCAATGAATTATGTATTGAGTCAAGCAAAGCTATTCATTATAAAAAGGTCGCTTAATTCCCAAAACAAATCTTATCTAGCCTGAATGTATGAGTTAACCGCAGCAATGCAGCATCGATTTATTTTGGTGGATTTATAACTAAAATACTCAACTGTATGACAGCGTGGTAAGAAATATACAGTACTTGTGTCGATACACAGACAACACCCGTATGTACATGTTAGAATTATGATCTACATGGGATCTGTGATTAACATCACATACCCCAACACACAGACACACACCCACACACAC